GTAGAGTCCCATAAATTCTAAATATTATTTTTTGTTGAATAAGTCGTAGTTTGAGGTCCATTCACACTTGCTCTAGAAGTTAAGACGCTCTCCCACTGTCTAGGCAAAATAGAAACCTCTAATTCTTTATTCCACTCATCCCTTAACATCTGCATATTAAATTGATTTATTGATAACAGCTATACAAACTAATAGGTTTTTTAGTTTTAAAAGATTTAACAAGCTGTTCTAATATCTCAGGTGTCTGAGAAGCTGAAAATGCTGCTGGTCCAAACAATGTTGTTAACAAATGTTGTACCTATAAATATTGCCATTGAGTTACATCTGATAGATGATATTTATCTCTTAACACGGAATATGTTAAACATTCATCTTCATCATCAGTTGGTCCAAAGTCAATATCCCCACTTCCATCCATTTTTTCCATATCACCATCTTTTTCCCAATTTTTAAAGTTGGGTTTCCCATAAAGTCAATTTGGCATGGGAAAAAGGGTCAAATCTTTTTTCATTAGACATTATGTTCCAGAATTTTCTAACTGACAAAATTGTTTCCAGAGATTTTAGATTTTTAGTATATTTCAACCTAATACTGTCCATCTGACCAAAGGTGTTATATATGTATATTCCAAAGTTGCCCAAATTGGAAAATTAACACACTACTGTCCATCTGACCAAAGGTGTTATATATGTATATTCCAAAGTTGCCCAAATTGGAAAATTAACACACTTGTTGGCTTTCAGTATTTAATACTTGACGGTATTAAGCGTCAAGTAATAATAAGCGGTAAGCATGATGATATATGAGATGATATATAAACAGAGAGCAAACCCCATTCCATTCTAGCACTGAGGATGTTACCTAGCCAGGTAATGAAACATTTGCAAGAAAACAACCAAGCTCAGAGAACCCCAAGGACTCCACATGTAGCATTCACCTGCTCACACAGAAAGTGAACAACAGATAGGACTATAAACATATTCACCAAATGCAGTTGAGGTTCCTTTCAAAGCTGCAATGCTATACATGTTAAAAAATGTTTTTCTAACCAAAGTGAGGTTGTTGTTGTTGGGCCAGGCTTATCTGAATGCCTAAATCTTGACGCACACCTTAGCCCTTTGTGTGAAGAAGCAAAAGTTTCTAAAAGGCTTTCCAAAATCATATTTCTGTGCTGTCACATGATTTGCTCTTAAAACTTATTGATATCATTGGAATTGACTTGTGAACAGTTTGTTCCGAAGAGGGAAAAAAACAACAGTGTTTGAATGTAAAGTACTTCCTTTGATTAGGAAAAGAGTACTCACTGTAACATTTATGCATAATCAGATGTCCTAAAATAATAATTTGGTCTTTTCCTCCTAAATGTTGGTTTTAAGAACTTATATCAATTTGTAATCATACGTTTCATCCATGATTCTACAAGCCATCAAGGATGTCAGAATTTGGAGCAATCACTTTAATAATACTGGTCCTTTCAACAGGAAATTCTCAGAGTGCTGGGCAGTTACAAATGAGCTATGAAATAGCGAGAAAATCAGCATTTTTTGTGGCTTTCAGGTGCAAATCAGCCTACCTTGTTTTTAATGTGATTTTTGTTATGATGTACAGGTAGAAATGAGCCCATTGGAGAATGCTATTGAAGTACTGGAAAATAAAAACCAGCAGCTGAGGACATTGATCAGTCAGTGTCAGACTCGACAGATGCAGAATATCAACCCACTTACAATGTGTTTGAATGGTGTCATTGATGCAGCAGTTAATGGGGGAGTTGCCAGGTACCAAGAAGTAAGTGTCCTTCCATACCTCTTTGGGTTAGGTTGCATTCTTGTTTTGGTACCTCAAATATTAGTTGTTAAGGAGCAATAGTAGAAGAGGGTTGTGGCTTTATAGCTTGAGCTTTCAGGGTACTTCAAGTTGGCCATTGGGTTTTACCAAATTAGTAAATTAGATGGGTCTTTATCCTTGTCCAAGACTCTTCTTATTCTCTTAATCTCCCAGTTCCATAAACCTAATTTAGATAAATGCTAATATTATATTTAGATCTATTCGTCACATTAACTACAAATACTTAGAAACTGAATGGCTAACATTTCAATTGATTTTCAAATCTGTGCTTGCAATACTTATTATATCACTTTTTAATTCTTTCCCTAAGAAGCTCAGAGCAAGTACAGTATATAATTATTTTGTTTCCCCATCATTATTATCACAACAACTCTGTTGTAATAATATTCTGATATTGAGAATACAAATTTTGCCATCTCTAGTATAGTGTTCTCATTATTGTACTATACTTCTCTTACTGTTGGTTTTTTCTCTGTGTGAAATAACTTAAACATTTTTATTTTTGTTATGTATCAGTCTTCCCAGTTAGACCAGTCAGGAAACATGATCAGATATGCTAATACTACCTTATTCGAGGCTACATTAATAGAATCTTGCAAGTCTGAAAGTACAAATCTCCCATCATCTCCTTTATAGGCTGAGAAGTTAGGGATGGTCCCTTCTGAATCTCTTTCTCTGCCCATTATATAGCTATGCATATGCCCTCTGTTATCTGACATTTCCCTTGGCGGCATTTCTTCCCCCTATCTCCCAAGGTCATTCCCACATACCATTACGTAGATCACCATGTGATGCAGTATATTGCATACATTGGCAACATTATAGGAAGGTATAAATAATAATGTTAATCATGTGGCTTAGGACAAAATCAAATGTCAGGGTGGCGAGAATACACTGAAAGACAATGTGGAGCCCTTATCTTCTGGCAAATAAATATTAAATTCTGCTACAGATGTGGATCCAGGAATTTGCAGATCCCATACTATTCATGAAGCCAATGAATCTTTTCAAAAGTGCATTAATTTTGAGAATTCTAAAATGTGAAGTTCCTCCACTTTCATGTAGGTTTTATTAACATATTAACTGTTCACTGTTTTATCAATATATACATTTTATCAATCCATGGTATATAATATAACTCTGATTTAAGTGACCTATAGCTAGATTACCTAGATTTCAAACTGAATAATCATAGAACATGATTCCATGTAAGGTAATAAGAATGTTTGCAAGTTTTAGTATAATTCAAGTAATTTAAAGATGTATTGATAGCACTCAGTGTATCCATAGATGGTATAAATAGTAGTCAATATGAAGTTAGAGAGCTTAGATTTTTCTGTAATGCATGTACTATGTGTACAACATAGTTTAAGTAACATGGATGACTTTGTGTGATGATTATATTCTGCATTCAGGCATTCTTTGTGAAGGAATATGTCCTGAACCACCCAGAAGATGGAGAAAAGATCACATGCTTAAGAGAACTGATGCTTGAGCAGGTAAAAGGAAATTCAAGCAAGTTGCTTTCAGTCTATTAGAATCTGACATATACTGAGGAAAAAGCATTATACTGTAGTAAGTTCCTATTCAGATTCTACTGAGGATTTTTAAAATTTCAGAAGGACACAAAAAGGAAGAACAAGTAAACTAAGTATTGCTGATATCAGGGTTTTAAATGGCTATTTCTTTGATGTTAAGAAGAGCTGGCTAAATGGAAATAAGGCAGACAGATAGGATTTGGCTCTCTACATCTGAATATATTGCATTGCAATAATAATCTTAAGTGTATTGTAAGGAAGTATGGATAAACAACAAATAAATTCCATCTGATTTAAGGCAGATAGGAAAGGAGAAATAAGGCTGTGATTTTAAGTAATTCCCAATATTATTCTGTAATTTTAATTCTGTATTCCTCTAAAATTGGTGATGAAATATTTAAACTAGAAAATTGTTAGATTTTATCATTATATGTGCTAGTTTGTGCTGGATTTCACATCTGGTTATTGTCCTTGTCTGTAGCTCAGAATAGCCAGTAGCACTCCTTTAACACTGCTGTCAAAAGAGAGGAAACTAAATCTATACAACTCTGATTAGATCTTATAATACAGGTAGTCCTTGCTTAACTACCCTAATTGGGACTGGAACTTCCACTGCTAAGCGAAGCAGTTGTTAGGCAAAAAATCACGTGATTGCACTGCTTAGCGACAGCAGATCCGGTAGTCCCGATTGCAGTCATTAGGTCAGGACCGCGTCGTTGTTAGGAGAGGACCTCACATTTCTCCTGCCTTGCTGCACTCGCTTCTGCTTCAACTCCCTCCATTCACCTATCTCCCCCCACCGCCCTTTTGGCTGCCCTGCACTCCACCACCCCTTATCCCTGCTGCCTCCCACTGCCTCCAGCTGACCTTTGCCATCTTCTTCCTCCTACTACTGAGGAGGTGTACCTGGATCTTCCTGAGGCCTTGCACAGCCTCCACAATGACGTGCAAGGCCTTCCAGAAGCCTCACAAAGAGCCAGCAGCTGCCTCGGCCAGGTGCGCCTCATCAGCAGTGGGAGGAAAAAAATGGTGAAGGTTAAGTGGGAGTAACAGGGACAGTGGAGTCCAGGGTGGCCAAAAGAACAGAGATGGGAGGGAGATAGGTGAATGGGGGAGTTTAATTGTATGCTGCAGTTGTAAATGTGAACAGGCTGAGCACCCAAATTTTGATGACATGACTGTGGGGCACGGCAACAGCCATAACTTCAAGGACTGGTTCTAACTATTGTTCATTCAGTGCCATCGTAACTTTGAACTGTTGCTGAACAAATGGTTGTTAAGCAAGGACTACCTATAATACTTTTAATGCATTATCTTGTCCAAATCAAACAAACTTTATGCTTAATTTTAGCTGTCATATATTTGAAGTAAGCCTTGGTTAGAAATTGGCTTTGGAAGCTGACTTATTTAATCAAAACTTTCTATTCCCTTATTGACGGGAAAATATAGTTAGGGTTCAGATGAAGTATTAAACTTTGATTAATGAGTGTCTGACATTAATTGCTCTTTAGTTCCATCACAGTAAATCATGAGTCATCCATACTGTCTCAGTATAAACTTAGTACTTTCTGAGTATATAGCATTAATAGTACAAATTCCTGAGTTGTATTACTACAGTGTACTGTATGTGTGTATACACAAATGCACATATTTGACTCTGTGTTGGTGAGTGGGTATATATTCAAATAATACTTTCATTTTTGTTCTAAGGCCCAGATTCTTGAATTTGGCTTAGCTGTGCATGAGAAATTTGTCCCACAAGATATGAGACCTTTACATAAAAAACTAGTGGATCAGTTTTTTGTGATGAAATCAAGTTTAGGAATACAGGTATGTGAGATTTATGCTGAAAGGTTTTCTAAATGCATTATACAGAAATGGCTGCATGTGCAAGCACAGTTAATAAAAATGTTATTAAGCAATCAATGGTGACATCTTCTGGCTGCATGACTGTATTGCTTTTTTTGAATCTGTGTGACTGAGAAATAGATTTAAAAAAAAAATTAAGAAAGACCATCTATTTTTTATTAGTTTACTATATTTTACTTGTTCCCATAAGTTATTTACTTCAGATGTAAAAAAAATCTTTAAAACAATAGTTCCTAATGTGTGAAATTTGAATGCAAACTTAGGAATTCGCTACATGCATCCAGGCCAGTCCAGGTCACTTTCCAAACGGAAGCCCACGTGTCTCTAGAAATTCGGTACCTATTTCTATGAGCCCAGAGGGTGGCAGAGGAATTCCTAGACGTAGGTAAGTTAAAGCAAAAAAACAAACAAATTGAAAAAAAAAACTTTTCATGTTTCTAATTAGGGGACATCTTTTATAGGGAGTATAAAGGGTGTGGAGTAGTCCTCACAAAACTTAAGACAGTTCTGATCTACTAAAATGATTGTTGTTAGCTGCCAAGAGAGGTTGTGAAGTATTCACAAAAAGATTGGATAAGTCACTGTGATGGAAGGGATGATGTAGGGGAGAAATAGCTTTATGGCAGAATTTGGAAACAGATCATTCTCTTCTTTTTATATGTCAGAAAACTTTCTGAAATGAACTAATATCCATTCATAGTCTTTTCACAATCAGTTTTAAAATATGAATATGTGGGTGTATATTTATATATGGATCATTTGGAATTAAACTATTAAATATAGGACACGATAAATTGAAATTAGAGTCAGAATTTATGAAATTTATTCTGTTCTTTGTTGTAATAGTCCATTAAGTTACCCAGCTGTCAACAGATACTCTTCCTCATCATTGTCCTCTCAAGCATCTGCAGAGGTCAGCAATATAACTGGACAATCTGAGAGCTCGGATGAAGTTTTCAACATGCAGGTACAAAATGATACCTCATTTAAAACGGATAGATGTACATCTTCTAAGGATTTTTATAGGATGGGAAGTTGTGAGAGAAAGCAAAAAATACCAAGGGACTGCAAGTATTTGGATTTTGGACCCTGATTTAGTTCTGATAGTTGAAACAATGTAAAGTGCTGATTAACTTATAAGTCATTATATATAGAATTATGTTTGAAACAATGTATTTTAAAAATATAGTTATAGCAATCAAAAGCTAATTAACTAAAAATCAGGAAAAAAAAGTTGAATTCTCTTTCATTCATCTTCAGAGGAAAGCAGTTTCTTCTTTATGGTGAGGTCCCAAAAATACAGTATGTGATCTTTATCAAACATGTCTAGAGTATGGTTGGTTTATTAAATAACCTGCCTTTTAAGATGTAGGCATGTAGGCACTTGCTGTACTGTTTTTTCTGATACGTTCACAAAGGAAATAGTGATAACTTACACTGATATGTGACCCTCAAATCCTGCCCAGCCATACAACTGAATATAATTCAAGATAATATTATTGTACCAGCTTAAAGACAGCTTTCTTTTAATTGTATGAAACCTGATACCTAATCAGAGTCTTGACTTGAATGAGCAATACGTTTCTGTACTAATTATTAGATGATTACTTCTTGATATGGGTGAATGGCCCATGAAGGTGGAAGAAAATGGCTAAGCCTTACTCATTTTTATAGTGCTGAGAGTTGTAACGATGGACCAGTTTTCATGTGAGACTTAGATTTTGTTGATATGTAAGGCAACAGACTTTTGGAATGTGACTGCTTCTCTTTGGAGACCCGATGTGGAATTTTGCCATGAATTGGCATGCTTAAATTCCTATCTATGCACAAACATGCATCTTTTGAAATAATTAAAAATGTGTAAGATGCCAGGATTCTTCAGTGATGTGTCAACAAAGAAAACGCAAATACAGGTAAGGACCACACTCCTGAAATGACTCTCTGCCAGACAAACTGGGGTGAACCTGACAAGATGAGATGATGACAATTGAGTCGTCATAAAAACATTTTATGAATAAAGAAATGGAAATGCAGGATAAAATATTTATAACCAAATACATTAAATCTTCCAAAATATTGAGTTCGTTTGTTTCAGTGTTTGTGATTATTACCGAATGTTTGTATCCCTTCCTATCATATATGTACACATATATACAGTCAGCACAGGCAATAAATGGTCACTAAAGGCAATAAATCAGACAAAAACTGACCTGGTCATTATGGAATAATCTGAAATGAATTTAGGTTGCAGTTATATATACAAGTTCCTCTCTGTCAGTTTTCTTATAGGCAATAGACAAGCATCAGGTTGCATCCTCAGTCATTTATGTATCATCCAATCATGTTTTTGCTTCAGATATTACGTTTTCAATGAGCCTAAAAGCTTTTGTATTGAGCTGCTGTCATAATGTACCATATCATTAGTCAGTACACATTGCTGCTGTTTTATCATCAAGTTGCATGATACTGAGAGTTTGTGGCTTTTGTGTATTTCCAGCCAAGCCCATCTACCTCAAGTCTGAGTTCTACTCATTCTGCTTCACCTAATGTGACCAGCTCTGCTCCATCCAGTGCCAGAGGTTAGTGTTTTATTACACAAAGATCCTTATGGAATCTTTCTGGGACCAAAACTATACTATTAGGTCTGGATCACATTATATGAAATTCTATAGTGGGATAAAAGCCACTTTAAATTCTCTATCCATTATGTGTTCCCCACCTAAATAATCCATCATACTGCAGATTGAAGAATTGCACTGATTCTGTAGGTTTGTCTTGTATTCCAGGCTCACCTCTGTTATCAGACAAGCTTAAACATTCCAGAGAAAACTCTTGCCTATCTCCAAGGGAGAGGCCCTGTAGTGCCATTTACCCTAATCCTGCTGAGCCTTCACAGGTAGGCATTTCCCAGGATGCACTAAAAGAGCTACATTGCTGAAAATGAGCTGTTGTGGTACAGAAATGTTGTTGATCATCTTATCAATACTTACTATTTTAAAGTTCTATAATCCCAATTTATAAGGAAGGTCTGGCCTGGTTAGTACTTGGATGGGAGACTTCCAGGGCTGTACCAGGTTAGAGTGGGAAATTAAATAGAAACAGAAGAATGAAGTGGCAAACCACTTCCATACTATTGCCAAAAACCTACATGGATATATTCATGAACTTCTGAGGAGTCCTGGAGCTTGACTAGAAAGAAAGTAAATCTTTTTGAATTTTCTGATAGAGTAAGTGACAATGCTGGAAGACTCAGTTTTGGTGCCCTGATTGATGATTGGTATTCAGATCCAGAAAAAATGAAAAACTCCAGGTTGTCTACTTCTGGCTTACCTACATCAACTTTTGAGCCATTTCTTTAAGGATATCACATTAAGATGTTGTTCCTTTTGTTAATAAAATTGCCTTATATTTTAAAGTAGGGAAAGTCTGCATAAAGTAAAGTCATGGATGGCCATTTTTCATTTACACATCTCATCTCTAAGTAAAGACATTATTTTTATCTAATACATTTCTTAAGACTTCTTCAGTCCTTTCCATCTTTTGATCATATCATTGGCAATGTATTTCTGATGCTTAGACTTGGATCAGATTTGATCCAGTTCCCCTTGATCTCCAGAATCGTAGGTCAGTTTATATAAAACTATGCTCTTTCATAGAATCTTAACTTTAAAAAAATGTGCACTATTCTTATACCTACTTAAATATCAGCAATTTATTTTGCAAGATAGGAAATACTGGTTTATAGTTGGCTTTGTGGCTTTATTCCACGGTTCCTTACAGTCTTGGCACATTACAGTAATGATGTTTACTCACTAATAGCAATGGCTTGGCAAATACTAATTCCAAATTCATCCTGAAATTTTCTCCCATCCTCTGGAGCAGCTAGAACAGGAAAGGGCGCAGAAAAATCTCTATGTGGTGGCTTTTAAGACATGCCACAGAAAGTATTGTGCCCTTTTTGCTCCCAGCCTGCAAATTCTTGCTTTGCCAAGTGGAATGAGGCCTCCATTCCGCGATGCATCAGAGATTCACCAAGAGAGCCTGAGGAGCAGGTAGGCCCAGTAGCTGCTCTTCCAGAGGCTTACACAACAGGAAAATCTCCCAATGTGTCAACATCCTCAGTAGCCCCTGACAGGGTAAGTAGTAACAAATGTTTCTCATGCAAGCATTATAAATTAGGCCTTGAATAGTTCGTTTTTCCCTTACCAAGAGATGAGGAAGATCTGTGGAATTTCCTTTGTTGGAAAACGGCACTCGAATGGGGTCTTCTGGGTTATACAGTAGGGACGCTGTTCAAATAGCATATGTCTTTGTCAGAGGCGACAGAGATATTGCTTAAGAATATAGTTTTCTTAGAGTCCTGGCACTAGATCAATGTGGTTATTTCACCACAGAAAAAAATAGATAAGTCATTCCTGCCAGAATACTGTACACTTTACGAAGGGTGATGAAAAGTGGTGAGCAAGACTTGGCCACAGATCTGTCCTGTCAGCATTTTTGTGTCAACTTTTTTTGGGGGGGCGAATATATCCATCAAACTCTATCATTCTTTTCCATGCTAACCTTTTATTGTTGTACTTTACCATGTCACAAAACAAGGATCAAATCATATCACAGCTTTTGTTAAGGGTAAATCTGTAAGCATGGGCTATCATGGCATGGGCTTTAGTTACCCAGATGCCATATTATCTTGTATGATTTAATTATGCTCTGAATTCATATGCTGGGCTGTTGGACCAAGTTGCTATTGAGTTTGGCTAATCAGAAAAAAAAATCATTTTTTTAATTATTATTATTATTATTATTATTATTATTATTATTATTATTATTATTATTATTATTATTTTAAATGGTAAGATGGCTGAACTATCAAGACCTGTCTTGAAATCCTGCATGTCTTCTGCTTGTGATGAAATTATGCCTACATTTACTGACTACATTTTGATGTAGTTGTCACATCTTTTCCTTTTCTTTTCTCCTTAGTACAGCATGAGTTCCTCTGCTCATAAATATATTGTTTGTTTCAAATATCTGACAATTTTACATGTCGGTTTGCTTCTACCATTTTATCAGTGACTTCAGTTCCTTGGTTGAGTCCTATATCTTTTCTCACTGAAAAGCTGTTAGATTATGTTCTTGTGACTGTTGAATATGATACATCAACTTTGAATAACTGTATTGATAGTTAGGCTCCTTGGTGGCAGTTTTGCAATATGCAACCAATGAATTTACTGAGTTCCCTCAGAATTGCTCTTTCCGTCCTTCCTTCCATTAAATTTGATTTTTTAACATATGCTCTGTTTTTTGTTTTCTTAATAAACTTGGCCTAAATTGGTACCTTGTTTTTCAGATGTGTCTATGAAACAATTTATTTTAAAAAGGCGGTAAAAATTTAATTAATTGCACCACAGATCTTGCTATAAGCTGTCAGATAAAGTATCAGGTGTTGTTGAATGGTTAAGAAAATTTCATTTTACTTTGAGTCATGTATGGCTGCATGACTTGTAAATCAGGATATATCCAGATTCAATTCTCTTGAGGAAAGGGAAAAAGGAGAGATTTTTCAGCAGTACCCATTTTATTCTTGCAGTTGAATTTGAATGAATATCAGTCCTCTTAAAACATTTCATTTCCTATGTCTTATGGGACCCTCTCTCTTGTATTTTCGCTATTAAAGAGACACCTCTGCTGAAATAGCTAATCTTTCCTTCTTTCTATACATGCAACTGAAATTAAGTTCTGTTTATAGTTCAAACTATATCACTTAAGTTCTGTTTATAGTTCAAACTATATCACTTAAAATATTAGTTTAACTATCATGTATTCAAAGTTTAATTTTACTTCATTGAAAACATGCTGAGAATTCATTAAAGTTTAAAAACTATCATAAAAATACGCTGTTCTGAATTTTTAGAGAATTGTGTTCAATCATATTGGAGATGGTGCATTGCCTCGAAGTGATCCTAATTTGTCTGCTCCTGAGAAAGGTAAGCATGTCATTTATTTTGATATTCTATCCTATATTTCTAAAAAGTACAAAAGACAGTTAACACCCAAATGTAAAGCAATATTTATTTGTTTAATAATTCCTATGCTCCCCATTATGCCAATGCCACAACTGATATTGTATCTCAAATACCAAAAATATCTAGGTGATCTCAAATACACTAGATATATATCTGATATTTTATGTTAATTCTTGAAAGTTTTAACAATTAATACCTATGTTGTCATGGCTTAACAGCTGTAAATAGCACTCCTAGCAGTTGGAGCCTGGACAGTGGGAAAGAAGCCAAAAACATGTCAGAGAGTGGAAAACTTATGTCTCCTCCTGTGCCACCACGTCCCACTGGTATGTCTGTACTTCATCTGTCTTCTTCTTTAATGCAACTAGCTCTATTCACATTGTTCCTAAAGCTGGACCCTGCCCAGATGTGACTTTGGCTTGCTATTAGATACCAGAAGAATACCAGATGATTTTAGAAGAGGAACAGGAAACCAGGCAGGAGGATTGAGGGAGCCTAGAAAGGAAAAACTAATTTTGGAGAAAATGCTGCAAGTAGAAGGGAGATTGAGGAGGACAACCAATGCTGTATGCTGAAACAACAAAGCAAGAAAAGACATGTTCCTGAATTCTGGAGTAAAAGAGAGGGCACAGCTTTTGGTGTGGAGCTTTATCTGTAGGGGTCCTTAGTTCATGATTTTGCATGCCCATGAGCAACCTGAGAAACAGTTTGGTGTGGTGATTAAGGTGCCAGGCTAGAAACTGGGAGACTGTGAGTTCTGGTCCTGCACAAAGCCAGCTTGGGGGCCTTGGGCTAGTCACTCTCTCTCAGCTCTAGGAAGGAGGCAATGGCAAACCACTTCTGAAAAACCTTCCCAAGAAAACTGCAGGGACTTGTCCAGGCAGTTGCCAGGAGTCAACACTGATTTGAAGGCACGAAAAAAGAAAAGAAAAAGAGGAACCTAGTGTTAATAAGGGCTTTTCAGACTTGCCTCAGTTGTTTGAACTGTGCTAAGATCTGCAGTCAAACAATGAGTTAAATCAGGATAGAAACAATCACAACAAAATTCAACTAGTGATTAAATACAATGAATATAATTATTTCCCAGGTTTTTAGTATCTTTCCTTTCTGTCACATTTAAAAATTATAGTTTGGTGATAATTCTGAGAGGGGGCTTTGTAAGGGTTTGGGGACTCCAGGTTGTACAACTTTGTATGGAAATAGTTCCTTTGGCCTTCATAATAAGTATTTGATTGCTTTTACTATACTTTTGGCTCTGGCTGTCATGGAGAGTAATATATGAACTGGGGGAGAAACGTGAGACGTGCTTCAGCATGTTATCATTTTGCTGTGACTTTCAGCAAGTGGGTATGTAAGTTACTACAGTTTAATTTGTAATTGGCCTGATGGTCCAAGCTTCTTTAGAGAAATGAGAAGAAATAGGTGTGTGTGTGTGTGTGTGTGTCTTGTAATGATTAGTTTTCCAAAGTCCCTTTTAATTTTAGGGCTGTTACTAGCCTCTGATCTGCAGGAAAGACATTTTGGTTGTTACTAAATATGTTAGTAAGCATTTTGAGTTTTAAGATAAGATGGAAAAAAAACCCTAACGACTATTTTTTCAAATTTCTGAAATATTACAGTACTGAAACACCACAGGTATTTAAAAAGGTATTTTTTAAAAAAGGTATTTAAAAAAAAACTATGGGATTAATTTAAACAAGTAATAATTATAGTTATTAAAGTCTTAGATTCTGGGAGTGGCCTAATAATTCATTTTATTACTTATGCTATTTCTGCTCTTGATTTATGATTCATATGAGGGAGGGAGTGTACTAATATGGTTGCCAAGATCCCCCTAAACTTGGGTTATTAACTCTACTGCATACTCTCAGCTCATGCTTATCCTTTTATAAAATTTCCTTTATTACAAAGTATTATTAGGTTCAGCACATCATGCCTATTTTGTCCAGTATATTTTGTTTTGGTTATCTATCACCAGTTTAATGGGAAGCTCCATGTTTTCTATCTGAGGTCCGCAATGTCTGACTCTGCTAATTACTGTTTCTAACCCTGTTGTAATTTTACAGTATGCATCTTTATCAACATATTATTAGATATTTTGTGTCTTATGAATTTCTATGAATGCAAAATGCACATGTGCCCGTTTTTTTCCTTCCCTGTCCTATACATGCATGCCCAGTATTTTTGTTCATCTTTGCTAGGTTGTTCATTTGTATCAAGCCATCATAGTCCTCACTCGCTCTAAACATAAAAATTTTATGTTAAATTCATGTGAAAATGATTTTCTTCACAGCATCACCAGCTCGACACATAACCTCAGTTTCTCCTTCTTCTGCAGGAAGATCTCCAATGAAGGTATGCCTTCAATACATTTAGAAGCAGAATTGCATGTTTACTTCTCATAATTTACATTAATTATGGCTATCCTTTCACCTTCAAAACGTAATGTGTATTCTTGCCTCCCCAATTTGTGCTATGTGATGGAATAAATAAGCCTTTTAGTCATTTCTGTGGTGATAAATAAACAGATTGTGTAAGAGTCCATAGAAGACAATAGGCTAAATGCATTCAGGAGACAGTGGCCATAAGCTGGAATGAATATAGAGATTAATTTCTTTATTGCTTTATTCTCCCACTCCATCCTATAATATAACAGCATATCCATGCAATTCCCAGAGCATTCAAGATGGATGGTTGCTATTCAAGACACATTAAGCCCAAATCCCTGTTGAGCAACGGGACCTCTTTCAAGTTTTCATTCTCTGCCAACATTGATAGGTTGCTGGGTTTTGCTTTCCTTAGTTTTTTAGTTCTAAGGCAGACTTTCTCAACCTTGGCAATTTGAAGATGCGTGGACTTCAACTCCCAGAATTCCCTAGCCAGGCTGGCTGGGGAATTCTGGGAGTTGAAGT